CTGGTCTGACTTCCAAAGCGTAACCTATTCTGACCTTTGAGGCTATTTCTCACAAAATTTGCTGGCCAGGCTGGCACTTTACTCATTTACTTTAAACTGAGGAGTGCTGACGATGGTCAGGTAGCACTGATTAGCTGTAGAAAGCTACCCATGGATCCTTGTGGAGCAAAAGCCCAAGGCTTCTGTCACCAGAGACACAGGAGGAGGAATGAGAAGGACGTTTACAAAGCTAAACTCCAGCCTAACCCCTTATGAAAGGTGGATTTCCTGTACAACTGTTCTGACAAGCTGAGGATTAGGCACTTCATACATTCTGCTTGGGTAAGAGTCTCAAACAGCAGTGAATTGTCACAGAGGAGTAAACTGCTTTTCTGAGGATCTCGAAGGATGTCATACGCTGAAAGAAAAAGAAATTCTGGTTGTGAACTGAACTTCTCAACTAGAATTAACGAGGCAGAAAGTACCCACACTGATGGGTTCAAGCTCTCTCGGTCCCATCTGGATGGCTTAGTTCTCTATCCCACTGCAGATCCACATGTGGCATTCATCGATCTATACTTTGGGGTTACTAACACCATAAAAACAGGCATAAATGATCATAAGGAATGCCAGTCTAGCTTTCCCTCAATTCCAGCCCCCAAATGTCCCCTCAGAGCAGGCGATACCAGTGGCACAACCAAGAAGTGTCTCTTGGGTGCCCTCTTGCTGCCACCAGTAAGGATGAAATGGAGACATAATCTATAAATTGGTAGAGGAAGAAAAAGAGGGGGCCAGGACACAGAAAAGGGAAGTTATTCCAGTGGTGGCCAATGAGTAACATCCAATGATTTATAGGAAGTATAATCCAATAATACAGTAAAATAAAACAGTGTGTGCCTGAGATGGTTTTGATTCCAGGAATTATAAAACATATTTTTTAAAAAGAGAGAGAACAAGAGGGGGAGAGAAAAGGAAGGGGAAGGGAGGCCAGATTGGAGCAAATTGGGCACAGATGGGGGATGCAATGGGGTTTCAGAGATGCCCTACAACAAATGTTGCTTCAATTATTCCTCTTCAAGAACTAGAGTTTTATTTCCTTAAATGACAGAATTTTAAAAAAATTAAAATTCTTGGACTGCTTGTGGTTTAGAGCAACAGTTCACCCTCCAGCATCACATCGGCCAATCTGATGGCTATTGAAGTGTTAAATACCGAGGCACATGGAGAAGGCCCTTCTCCCTTTTGTCATGCCACGGAGAGATTACTAATTGTGACATCACTCTGGGAACCACCTATCTGGCCACCAGCTTTGGATATGGGCCAGGTAAAGAACATACTACTTAGTAAGTTCTTTCCCAGAACCGTGGCCTTCCTTACCCAAGCATTCAACAAATACTTACTAAGTGCCTAATAAACACAAGGCACCATGCCATAGCCTCCAAACATCCCTTATTCCATCTCACAAATTGTTTCAACTACCTTAGTTAATAAAGAGTGTAGGAACCTTAGACTCTGTAGTCCCAGGCAAGTAGAATTTTGCATAGGGTTCATATGAGTGTAGGGATAAAGATCTCCCCCACTGACAGTCCTGAACACATTAGTTTTAAGATCACTGCTGAGACCTAAAAGTTTAATTGGCTAAATGTGGCATGACTCAACTTATCTTCCATATAGGAAAGGGGCAAATCTGACTTCACAATTTCTGCCTCCATGAGCAGGGCTGGCTCCAGGAAAAACTATATCCTAGAAAAAGAGGAAAGATGCTAGTCTCTCACTATCATCTAAGCTTGTTTTTCTGTTTTGCCTTTTAAACACTTCCAAGTGCACAAGAAAATCCATTAGAAAAATAATCTCTCAGGTCCAACAGATGGTATAATGGGTACGTCACTAGACTCCCACATGGCCAACCATGGTTCAAGTCACAGACCTGGAGGCTTGCATGCATACCCAAGATCCTGAGAAGAGAATGGAGAAGGGATGACAGTGTGGCCATCCTCACTGAGGGGTGATTTCTCACCTTCTGCCTGTTTCTCTGACAAGGGCATGCACCCTATAACAAACATCTCTCTAAATAAAAAAGGCAATTTCTCTAAAGTGTCTGTAACAATATAATTTCCATCTCTGGACTACTGAGACTGTAGGAGAAGATAGTCATACAATGGTAGCACCAAACAAACACACACACACAAAATCACTGATCCACAGTAGTGTTAGAGACATTAACAAAAGACATATGTTTTAAGTAAGAACTTCCCTGTTGCTCTCAAATTATACTCCTCAGGTGCCATATCTACAGGGCAGGCTCAGGCACAGTCTGAGAAGATCTGGACTGCTCTGTGGGCCATACGATCACCTCTACTTTAAGCTGGAATGCTCCTTCTCCACAGAGGCCAGGAACTGACAAATGCAAACACCCACCCAGAAGGACACATCCAAGAAGGAAAGAAAAATGACGGCCCAGATGTTCTATTACTTGTAGTAACTGCCAAATCACCCAGACCCCAAGCACCTGGGAGAGCCAGGCAACGTCAGGCCCTTGCTTCCTGGTTTCAGATGGTCAGGGACCCGCGGCTGGGTGGTGACTGTGACAGCATGCAGACTGGCCTGGAGAGAAACCTTTAAAAGGGCACCAGCTGACGAGACTCGGGGGCTGAACACTCAGGGCTGATTTATCATTTCCTTACTCATAAAAATGTGATTCAAACTGCTGCTGATTAGTGAAGGATTTAAATCTTTACCCTCTCCCCAACCCCCTTCCCTCTCCACCCCCGACACAGATGCTGCTACTCAGCCACAACACCCCCTCTTGCCACTGTCCGTGCAAGCACAGCGCAGGGGCCCAGAGAAGATGACTCATGTGCTGGGAAATGGAAAAGTGCATCTTCCCACCAGCCAGTCCTGCTGAGTGCTCTGCTCACCCCTCTCCCAATGGCAGCCCACACAGTGGGGTCTGGACGGCCGCCTCAGCTGCACACCGGGTACTTGGCAGCACGTCCACAGAGCTCTCTGTCCTAGTTGAGTGTTATATCCTGTGGCCTGGGCTGTTTTTCCCTGAAACATCCTTGGAGCCTCTGACCACCTCAGCTCTGACTCCTCTTGGCCCCATCTGCCTCCTAGAGGTGACCATCAGGAAGAGGACAGAAATGAGGAGCAGGGTTTTAGGTACAGGCTTTCATACATGCTTCATGGTTAGAGGGGCTCATTACGACCAACCACGGAAAAGAGTCCTAGGAAAAGAACAGCGGCCTCAAATGGGGGGACCACCTCTTCCTTCTTTCTCTGTACTCACCACCTCACCTTCTTTTCACCCGTATTTTCTTAACCTTTCCATAATAACAGCTATAAAAAAAGGACTCACTGGTGGCCTATGAAAAAGCCAAGGTATTCCTTTTCATGGAGCAGAAGGTGCTGAAAACAGATGCTTCACAGTCAAGAGCTGCAGGCCTTCTGCATTCACACCTGAAGACCGCAGGTCATCTGATGCTGGAACAGTACCTTGACAGAGGCTGGAGCTCTGTAACAGGCACTCACTGGACTCTGCAGATTGTTCTTAGTGGGAGGCAGGAAAATGATACAAGGGCACCTCAGGAGGCCGCCTCTTCAGAGCACAGTGGGCTTCCTACTTGGTACGCATATGTCCTACCCCTCTGGACTTTGTGGTCTCACCAGGACAACCCTTTACAAACCTTACTTCCTCCTTTCTGGAAACCAGCACTCCCCCTCAAGACTCCATGATTCTTCAGAGCCGTATAAACAAATAGCCATCTCAGGAACAATCAGCAAAGTTCAAAAAGGCACCTAAGCCTCTGTCTCTTGCCTTCTCCTGGGAATGCTAAACACCGTATCAGGTAGCATGAAAGGCGAAAATCCTCTAGGACTGAGATGTGACTGAAAGTCCAGGTAGACTAGCAGAGAACCTTGCAGAGTCCCAGGAGGAGGGCACAGTCACTCATGAGGAAAGAAAGACCGCCACCACCACCAGCAAGCTGCAGCATAACCCCCAAATACAAATGGGAAGGTTAATAAAACAACTTTAGGGTGAGAAAGCACTTTTCAGAAAAGGTGGAACAAGAGACCCAGTGACACTTTGTCCAGAAACACCAGATCTGTTTTATAACAGAGTCTCCATGGGACAATTCCCACTTCCTGGTATTTCAGATAATAACCTTCTAACCCTGAAACTAAACATTCTCTGTCAATGCTCTGAAATGATTCCTTGACAGCATGGACCAAATTTCCTTTGCAAATAAATGTACCAAATCATGTCACCTGCATGCTACAAAGTTCCATCAAGTCAAACCACATCACCCTTACCTAAGTAGGGTGAGAGGAAAGGAAGGGGTCCTGGCAACATCTTTTGACTGTGACCTTGTCATCCAACATTTAAAAACCCTGCCGAACCACCCTCCCCTCCTCCACTCCTCCCACCCTTACCTCTCTTGCCAAAAAAACCCCGAAGAGTGTTCAGAAAAGCATTTCAGAATGCACACCAGTATTCTAGCCAAATACTGGGTCTGGTGGTTTCTGTGCTTCCAGATTTGAGTCACCAAAGCTCATCAATTCTCTGTTCTTGCTCCCTGGCAGGCTCCCACAAGGGATATCCCATAGGGAACTAGACTTTTCCATATTGAACAAACAGGGTACATGAGTCCAGAAACAGCTATTCCCAATCCTTGCCAAGCGTATGGTCTCTGCAATGAAACATTTCAGCAATGCCTCTCCCTTGGGAGAGGCTCTGGGTCTACAGCCTCCAAGAGGCCTTGCTGCTCATGGCCAGATGTGCAACAGCATTTCTGGCTTTGCAAATTAAACTCTATACCCACAATTCCCTCCTCCCATCCCACCCAAGCATTAGAGAGTCATACAGATTTCAGAGAGTAAACTAAAGATCTGAGAGACAACGGTAGGGAGGGCCATGTACATGCATGCACATGCACACATTAAGGGGACAGGGGCGGTATGGTGGCATAGGAAATAAGCTAGATTGATCTCTGTCTAGATGAAGAAAATGGACGTCTTACCTTTCAACTGGGAGTTGTGCACAGCAAACATGTTGATGGTCATAAGCTGCAGCATGCGGGTACTTCCAATAGGAGAGGGGCTGTGCTGCAGCAACACCTGGAACTCCTTCAGAACCTTCTCAGCCACTGCAGGGAATGACTCCATCCTACAGATACATTGGGCCCATCAGTAAGGCACACCCCAAGAGCCCTTGGTGTACACACACACACACACGCACACCCTTTCTCTCAAAAGGCAGACCAGACCACTAATGCCTATGATGCTTCTTTGTCACTTTCACGAACCTTCCTGGTATCCTACAATTTTGCACAAATTTGAGAGGAAAGAGTAAACTGTTCAGTGTTCAGAGATGGAAACAACTCAATTCTTAGATAAATCACTATGAGTTATTATGCTTTGGTATGCTATTTCCTAACCTCTGGCAATAACTGGATTCAAGCTGATATTCAAGTTTCTCTCTGAAACAATCAATTTTAAAAAATAGTAAATAAAGCTCTTTTAAGTTAGGTTGGTCACCAAACTCTCCAGTATGAAACTGTAATCTATAAAAAGAGTTATATGAATTTAAAGATTCTTTATTCAAGGATTTACTACAGGAAACCAGACAGTTCTGCTGCTGTCTTCGTAGATACCAAGCACACTGCATGCTCCATCTAGGGGTCCCAAATTTCCCCTTGGAGAATCCTCAGATCTAGGACCCCAATGATCCATTTCAGTCTTTCCTGTGTTGCTGTCTTTCTCCCTCTCAAAAGCCTATGCTCATCAGGGTCTGTACGTTTTCAGGCCAGTGGAAACATAATGCCCTGGCCAACTGCCACTCCCAATACAGGAAGAGCCTGTAATGCAGGGAGGCAGAAATCCAGCCAGTGACCTAGGGCTCCAAAGGAGAGGTCACTCAAACCTCTGCTTGCCAAATGTGGCCACTGGATCCCAAACAGTGGTGCATGCCTGGAGCTCCTTTGGCAACAGAAACAAACCACAGCTGAAATCCTCAGAAATAAAAAGCAAATTCTAACTTTGTGCTAGCGAGAGAAACCAGGCACAAGGGCCTTAGAACCATGCTGAACCATTCGTGGTCGGCTAAACATCCTCACTGTGCCCCAAACAAACAAACTGCTTATGGGACACTGGGGGTGGGGTGGGGAGTTGCTCTAGACAGGATTAATACACAGCTTCTGAAAAGCCACAGGGAAGGGAATCCTTCTCAAAAGATACTCAAGAGTGTCAAGTCCTAGAGAAAGGTGCTTCTAGTTTCATCTAAACTTTGGCCCTTTCTCCATTGAATAGTACTCTCCCTAGATCAGAAAACTCCAGAGCTTTCTGGAATCTTGGCAATCTTCCTTCCTTGCCCTTGGATGGCAGCTCCTATTACTGACCCTGTGGTGCCCAGAAGTCATGCCACAGTCATGGGTCAGTTACAGTTTACATTCCAGTTCCCTTCTCTGCTGAGATGTCCTCATTTTCATTGGCACAAAACATGCCATGCATTTGCTTTCTTCTCCCCACGCACCATTTTCAAGTGCCCCCCCAAAACAAAACAAAACAAAACAAACCTTTTTCTTCCCCCTCTAAAAAGTTTCAGAGCCGTTAAAACTCTTGGTAGATTTGGAATGGCAGAGAGTGATGTGTTTGGGGCTGGATTGGATCCACTTTTCCCCAAGGGCTGTAACAAAGGTTTCATTTTAAATCCTGACACTGTGCAGCACTCTTTCTGGTTGGAGGTGGGGAGGGGGACTAGCACTTCTCATTACGAGAATAGCAGAGTTCACTCTACTTAAAAAGCAGCCACACTGGGCAAGTCTCAGGGCCATGTGTCTCCGTGTTGAAAGGCAGTAGAAAGCCAGCACAGAACGACAGGACAGAAGTGTCACGTGGGACATCTTGCTGTGTCTGAGGAAGCCTCTTCCCTGGGATGGGAATTGAAACATATCTATTAACACTCCTTGGGTCAGACTGACGTCTCAAACAAGCACCAGGTCAAATGTCCACACTTTCCCTTTTTAAAAAGTTTCTGAATTAAAATAAATAAATAAATAAATAAATAAAAACCCTTTTGCCTTTCAATCAGTTCAACATGATCAAAACAAAAAGAAACAAACAAACAAAAAAACCAAAGGGTTTAAATCTGAGCAACTTCAAGTGTGAGATATGATGGATCTACTCAGACAAAATCAGCTTTATTCAGCAATAATTGAGGGAAACACAGATAAAGACTCCTCCTCAGGATTCAGTAACAAGGTTTCTGGTTCCCCGTTTTGCAACCAAACTGCTATCTTACTTTGGATTCAAACTACCTGTAAGTAGTTTTATGTCTTTCTCTCCAAGACATAAACATTGCTTTGCCTCATATTACAGAGAGAAAATAATAATAAGACTAAAACTAAGATAATAAGAGTATAAATTTGTTTAAAAAAAAAACACAAAATAAAATGAAATCTTTTACATATATGTAAATGTAGCAAAAAGGTCTCATGACCTGATGTCTCTGTCCTGTTATCTCTCTGGAGAGCACAGGCATTAGGGAAGAGTTGCAAATATTTAGCCTTAGCTATTAACACTATATATTTTAATAAGAATTTCTGACCACTATTTATGCACATAGTAATTTCAACCAAGAAGAAAAAGTAGCAGCAGCAGTAATTGAGGAGAAAGCAGAAACAGAGAAAGCATGAAAAGATGGTCATTTATAACCACAAAAAAAAGGGGAAACAACCTAAAATACCTAACAATAGATGATAAAGATGGCACATCCATAAATCAAATACTATTTTTTTAAAGTTGTATTACATTTTTTAACCATACGGGGAATGGTTCAACATGTATTAAATGAAAATGGTTTTACAGCAATTTAACACGATCCCTTTTTATTCATATAGGTTAAAAAATAATGTCTGTGTGATACACAGAAAAAAATATATATGTGTATATATATATATATACCAAATGTTTAGTTAACAATGAATAGTTCTCCCTGGATAGCGAGAATACAGGTAATGTTTTTCTTTCTTTTTTTGGTTGAGTGTTCTCAATATTTCACAATGAGCACTATTTAGTAAGAAAAAAAGGACTGTCTCACAATGAATACTTCTTACTTTTGTATTTAAAAATATTTGCTAATTTAAAAGATAAATCAAGACATAAACACTATATTTTTTAATATTCCAAGTCCAAAATAAATAAAACAGTCTTTGAATTCCAAGAGCTATTGAAGCTATGCAAATAGCATAACTAGGCGAACAAGTAAAAACTAAAGTGCTAACTTGAATCGAAACAATAATGGGAAGCAAAATTATTCTATCTGTCACAAATAAAGGGCCTAAAGGCTGCTGGCTTCTCCGCCCCTCTCAGTGGAGCACAAGAGCAGGTCTGATCTGCTTCTGACCAGGGCAGCATCGGTCTGTCAGGAGCCACACGGCACTCCCGACTCATTCCTCTTCTCGAGTCCAAGAGGACTCTGTTCCTACCCTATAAAGCCTAAAATGACACTATCATGTTCAGGCTGTGCATCTCACTGACTTAAGTGGCCACCTTCTTAAGTGATCTCTAGAGACACCTTGTCTTATTTGAATGGCAGTTTAAAGAAACTAACTTGCAGACAACCCTGGAACCTAGACCCAGGAGTGACTCAGACAGTGACTAACGGAGCAGCATCCAACCCCTCAGACGCTGAGGAACAATGCTAGGCTAGGTTTATTCATTGTAGAAAAGGATCAGGCTTCCTAACTTTTCTCAATATTTTAATTTTTAAAGCTTGAGCAAGACAGGAACAATCCAGGTGCAAAATACGAAACCAAAATGTTAGCTAATTCTGTGAAAGAGTGGAAAAGGGAGGAAAAAATAAGGAAGCTGAAGCCCACCAAGCTTTGACTTGTTTACTCTTGAGGTCTTTCTTGTAAGTAAGTGGTTAAAAGCAAAGTCTCTTTGGCAGTAGATCTCAGGCACTGCTGAGAGCAAGAAGACTTATCTTGCACACAGTAGGCATTAAAGTACATACTGATGCGATGTGGAACACCGGGCACAGAGGAGACCAGAACTGGAAGAGCACTGTCAGGGCTTTACTCAAAAGGCAGGCGGGATAGTAATGTGCCTTCAGCTGCTCCCCATTACAATCTTCTCACTCTTAATTCATTTTCAACGCCTCCCACATTTCACATCTTCTTGGTAATTAGGCAACAGTCCATGATGATGTGTGTGGCTTGGGCTCATTGCTTTTCTAGTCTTCCAGACTTCTATACTTTCTTTTTATCCCCCAACAGAAATGTTACTGCTGTTTCTGCCTTCCAGAATAAATATGAGACTCAAACTTTTTTAACCTCTGGGAGAGAATAAGAGGACTACTAATTGAGGGGCTGAAATGCCTAAAATTGACATACATTTTCCTCATTGAAAACTACCATAATTCATTTTTTTAAGTTTATTTTAATTTGACTATAACTGCATGTATTTATGGGGCACATGTGATGTTTTGATACATGAATACACTATGGAATGAATAAATCAGGCCAATCAGCATACCTATCACTTCAAATTTTTATCATTTCTTGGTGGTAAAAACATTTAAAATGCTATCTTATAGCTACTTTGAAATATACATTATTGGCTATAGCCACTATGCTGCGCAGCAGAACACCAGAACCTATTCCCCTGCCTAACTGTAGCTCTGTGCCCACTGAGCAGCACCTGTCCTTTCCTGTCCGCCCTCCTGTAACTCATTTTTTATAAAGGTAAAACTGGACAGGCTTTGTCTTTTTAACCACAGAAAGCATTATATGCAGGAATAGAAGAAATCCTGAAAAAGAATCTGAACTACAGTAAATGACCACAGGCAAATGAGATAATCTATTCTCTTTTAAATGCCTCCAAAGATCTCTCTGTGAAATTTTTTGACACCTAAACCCAAATCTTTCTAGCTACAAGATAAGCCTATTTTTTCTAATTATTATCCCTAAAAAAAAAAAAAAAAAAAAAAAAAAAAAAAAAGAAAAAGACTATCTGGTATATCTCTTTTATATTTAAACACAGGGCACCCTATACTCTAAGGGTCTTTTTCACCTTTATTTTTCCTCTCAAATCTCATTTCCTAAGATCCTCATTACTGTGGATCTTTCTCAAACTTCTTCCAAAATATGTGTCTAAATACAAACTTTTTGTTTTCTGAGAGGTTTTTTGCTCTAGGGCGCATGCGCTCGCCAGACAGAGAGAGACAGAGAGACAGAAAGCGAGAAATTACCCCCCTCGGGGGGATGGCCACGCCGCAATCCCTTCTCCTCCATTCTCCTCTCGGGATCTTGGGCACGCACGCACATGCGCCCGGCGTGAGTTCTAAGCCACCGGGTCTGGGACGCAAACCGCGGTCGACTACGTGGGAGTCCAACGAAATAGCCATTACGCTAACTACTGGTTCCCTAAATATATACATTTTTTAAAGGGGGAGTGGAAATAAGGGTTTTGGTAATGCTTAATCTGACAAAAAAAATTCTAAATATTCCTAGTTTCTTGACCAAGATTCATAATTATTTTAGTCCCCAAACAGGGCCAGAAATACCTAGAATAGTATTTCTCAATGAAGGGTAATTCTGCCCCTCAGGGAATATTTGACAATGTTTAAAGATCTTTTTTTAATTGACAGAGAGTGACATGCAGTGATGAGGGGTGTGGGAGGGATAACCACCCCCAACGGGGCATGATCATGCCATAATCCTTTTTCCTCCATTTCTCCATCCTGTTGGGACTTTGGGCATGCACACCTGACAGGTTTTTTAAGCCTTTGGGGTTGCGATTCAAACTTCCGTAGGCCACATGGGATCTGGTAACTAGGCTACAGGGCTGACTCGAGAAACTTTTAAAAAATTTGTCAGAGGGCACGTGCACTCGTGAGAGGAGTTAGGGAGTGAGAAAGCACCTCCTAGTAATCCCTTCTCTGTGTCACTTGCCTTTCATGATTTTGGGCATCCATGCACATGTGCTCCAGGGTATTTCTGAAGCTGCTGAGTCCAGGACTTGAACTGCACAGCTGGCCATGTGGGATCCAGCTGCTATAACCACCACACCATGGGCTGGCCCTAGCAACATTTTTAATCATCATAACTTGATGGCACTGGGGGGAGGGGTACCCTACTGCCAGGCAGTAGAAAGAAGCTAGGAATGCAATTAAACACCCTACACTACACAAGATAGCCCCAATGACAAAAGATCTGTCCAAATGTCAGCAGTACTGAGGCAGAGAAATTCTGACTTAAAACAACATGATATAGGCAAATTTAAAGAACAAACATAAGAAAATGGGCTGGCCCAGGAGCCTTAGTGGTTAAGGAGCCAGATTCCCACATGGTCACCTGTGGTCTGGATTCCGGCCCTAGCAGCTGGAAAAACACATTGGACACATATGAGTGACGACTAAAATCCTGACAGGTTGAAGAAACAAAGGAGAAGAGATTAGGGAGAGTCACATGGTGGCAGGAGAAGTGTGTGTGTCACAAAGCCCCACCCCCACCTCTGATGGACACACACATCTGGAAGTTAAAAAGAAAACAATAGGCCAGACCCTAGCCTAGTGGCTAGAGTGCCAGATCTTACATGGCCAACTTCAAATCCCAGCCCTTGTGGCTTGGAAAAAACACACCAGGCATGTGTGTGCACATGCCCAAAATCTCGACAGGATGAAGAAATGGAGGAGAAGGGATTGTGATGGGACCACGCCACACCGGGTGCTTTCTCCTGCCTCTCACTGGTGAGTACACATACCCTCTAACAATTAAAATAAAAGAAAAAAAGAAAAAGAGAGGAGGTCCGGACAGTGACATGGTGGTTGAAGCAGCTGGATCCCACATGGCCAACTACATGGTTTGAGTCCCAGATGCCTGCAGCTTGAGAAACACACCCAAGCACGTATATACATGCCCATCCAGAAAGGAGAAATGGAGAAGGGACTGTGGTGTGGCCATCCCCTATGGGTGAATGCTTTCTCACTTTTTTTCTCTCTCTGGCAAGTGCACACACCCTCTAGCAAATTGGAAGGAAAAAAAAAGAGAGAGAGAGAGAGAGAACATTGGTGAAAAGTAGTAAGGGAGAGAGTGAAAGAAAGAAAAAAAAAAAAAAACTAAAAAAGATAAAAGAGGTCCGGATCTGTGGAGCAGCAGTGATGAGATGCTCAGAAGCCTTCGAATCTCTGGTCTGGTCAGACTGAAATGTGCCAGGCATGTACATGAGCACCTAGGATCTGATTGGCTGGTGGACTGCAGGAAGGGGATTGTAATGTGACCCTGTGGGGGATGCTTTTCTCCTTCCCCTCTTTTGGGCACACTACCACAAATAAAGAAAAAAATATTTTTTAAGGACAAAGAGATAAGGAGTAAGAGTTCTATCAACTGTTATTTTAAGTGCAGGGTGATACTATTTCTTGCTATGATGTGTTATTTTATGTGATGATACTGGTATCACTGTATCTACTCATAACTGCAGCTTGACATTACTCGTAATGATCAGCTTGGGTCTGCTAAAACCTACCAGAACATAAGATCCTTCTCTCTGGTCTTTCACAATCTATCCATTTTGTAATAATGATTCACTCATTCATACAACAAATACTGAGTGCCTACTACATGCCAGGCTCTAGGGATGCAACAACATTAAGACAAAAACCTCCCACCAGAATAGAGCTCACACTGGCAGGGATGACAGCAGGGAAGTGAGGGGTTCAGAGGCAGGAGCTCTTGATATGTCTAGCTAATTTTAAGTAAGTGAATTACTTCATACTTATTCTGATAGTCATACTTATTCTGATAGAGATTGATCTATTAGTACTTCTCCACTTTTCTTAAGTCATTTCAAAATAAAAACTACCCTTGCAACATCCATCGCTGTCACTCTTGCTCAGGTTGATGTCTGCTGAATACATACTGAGCACACCTTCTAGGTCATTATCCATGGAGCAGTGCTCCTTCAAGTAGGACAAAGTCTTTCAGCTGCTCAATTTCCACAAAGTACTAAAGTATGTGGAAACTGACACAGCTTCTATCCTCACTAAGGAAACTCTAGAGCATTACAGATAAACGTGTAAGCCTCTGACAGAAAGTGAAAGGGAAACACTGACAATAACTGAGGGATTTACAATTCAAAAAAATCATCTCAATGAGTAGTTGCCAATACAATCTCCAACTCAGAAAATATTAAATCCAGTAGAAGACTTGCCTGAGAGCACTGCCACCTCTTTCTCACTTCACTATCCTGTACACAGAGAGACCCTACAGCACAGAGTCACGCAGCCCACACTTGCTCCACTGTGCAGGTGTCCAGTCAGTTCTTAGGATCACTGATTTTACACAATGAGGAAGAACTCTGGTCCACCAAAGGAATACACAGAACTCAATATTTTTACAGGGATTTAGGGTGTAAAGTAATAAAGTTTTGCACACACTACCTTTCCTGAGATTTATATGTAAATCCATGGTGGATGGTGAAATCACAGAACAGTCTTGGTATTTAACTGAGATCAGCAATATGGTACAGGAAACTGAGAACAGGAGGAAGGGGTATGGGTCAGAAGGACATGGAGGAAAGAAAATGTCACTCTGAGGGAAAATTAGTGGACGCTATTCTCCCCAAGGAGGACCCCTGGCAGCTGCACCCAGGGAACTAGCACGACTGACTTGAGGAGCTCAGTAGGCACTGAACCAGAAGGCAAAGGAAAGAAAAATCCAGAGGAACTGGGGGTGGGGTGAGGGTTGGGGAAAGACTGTGTTTAAAGGGGGTTTTTATAAAGGTAGAGAAAGAAGAGACAGAGAGATGGAGAGTAGTGTTTCCCAGACTT